GTTGCATATAGTTCTGGTGTCGTAGAGTAATCTACTGCGGACAGGATGTTGCGTACTTCTGTGGGTAGCTTTTGTGCGTGAAGCTGGCGCAGGATAGAGTCGGGGAGTCTGTCTGTGTGACGGGAGTTCAGCCGACACATCTCCTCCCAGAAACGTCCCGGGGTTGAGTTCCCGAGGGAGATAGAGGATAGATCTTGCAGGAGATTGGGGCTGGTCTGTTGATAACACGTCTTCAAGGCATCCCGCAGGGTAGCGAATTTGTTGTCATCTGGAGGGTTGGAAATGGTTTGTGAGACCCGCGTGGCCACTTCCGTGGGCAAGGCACAGAGCAGGGCGCAATACTTTTGCTCGTCGGTCGCTCGTGAGCCGGCGAGGGCTGCCTCCACATGGTCTAGCCAGTCCTCGACGTTGTGGTTGAAAGTCAGCAGAGAGATCCGTCCGTCCTCCATCCTGTGTGAGTGCTTATCTCCGGGAGTCACCATTTGTAGGAATTCGTGGTATAATGTTGTCTAGCACTCAGGATGGATGGAAACTCTAAGGTAGTTTTCTTGTATAATATAAGTTATATGATAGACAGTCTGGTGCTGGAGGTGCCGTGTGGTGAGGAGCTGCTCAGTAGAGACGTTCAGTGAGTAGCGTGTTGAAGGAGGTAGATGTGAGGAGCTTCTTTAGAGAAGATGTTGCTTGTTGCTGGCCTCCTGGTTGAATGAATGCTGACAGCGTGGAGCTTGCTGGAGGAGGTGTTGCTTGTTCAAGAAGAGAGACCAGAATGAATCTCAATGGTATGGTGTTGGGGGATTACTGGCCTCTTCGCCGTTAGGCTATTTCGGCCGAAGCTGATTGGTTGGACTTCTTCCGTTTCTTGTTTCTTCTCTTACTTTTCACTTTCCATTCTTCTTCTCGGTCTTGCTCCGGAAGATTTTCGTATACGTGTATGAACGGGATAGCTGATAGAGTTATGAAGTCGGGTTTAATTTTGTCTTCTTCTTTTTCCGTGATCTTCTTCTTGGGGTCTTGAGTTTTAGTTGTTGTGGTCTTGTTCTGGTCTTGTTTCTTCTTTGCTGCAGTTTTCACTACAAGGAGAGCCTCCTTGTAGCTCAATTTTTCTTGACTTCGCAGCTTAGCCACCCTACACTCCTCCCTCCACTTGGGACACTCCTGGTCGGAGGAGGAGTGAGGGCCACCACAAGCTGCGCACTTCTTGGCGGCCACTGAGCAGTTGGTGTCGTGGTGCCCGGGTGTCCCGCAACTGGAACATACTTCCTGAGCATGACACTTCCGCGCCAGATGGCCGTACCTCTGGCATTTATAGCATCTTGTAGGCCTTCTTTCGTACGGTCTTACTGGGACCCTTTCCCATCCCAGCAAGACGGTGCTTGGAAGTTTCTTATGGCAGCCAACCAGTGCAGTTGTACTGGTGAGCTTCCGTCGTACTGAGAGCTGCTTTCCTATCAGCTCGGCCAGTTCTTCTTTTCCCAGATGTTCGATTTCTGTGTGGGAGATGACTCCCAAAACCAAGTTGTCCTGTAGGCAGGTTTCAACAAGGATCTGTATCCCGTTAATTTCTCTAACATTTTCAAGTTGCCGGGCCTCTCCCCATTCAGCGAAGGTGACAATAAGGCAACCGCTGTCAATGTGGACGACCCTTGTCACCCCCGTGATTCCTGAGTCGTCAAAAAACTTCCTCAGGACAAGGAGGTTTAGTAGCTTGCGCGAAGGGCGCTTGACTGGATACAGCCTAACGACCTTCGCCTGTTTACAGAACATTATCTAGATCACGTGGTACCTCGAGAGCAGAAAGATCCTACCTCGCCGAGGTTCAGTTCTCAAGTCCTACGAATCTCAATGGAGAGACAGAGCTTATATACCCAGCAGCCGCGAGTCCTCTATGAGTCATGTTGGGAAAACCCGAGAAAGTCGCCGGTCTTTTGGTTCCGTTGCTAGGTTACCGTACCATCTGGTGTCGCCGCTCGCTTGGTTGCTAAGGAAAGCGTCGCAGGTGGGGTGCAGCAGGTGGGATGCAGCTACGCAGTTTGTAGGGGAGACGTCCACTACAGTACCTTTACCAGAACTGTTGGTAGCACATAATATGAAGGATGCACTCACAACACATAACACATTATTACTGGTACTATTAATATTTATGGGTTCACTACTCAATATGGGATAACTATATTTCTGCTAATTATCCCCAATCATATACAACAATAATACTTTGGTCCATATAACTGTAACTGTGAGGAATACACCAGGGTGTCACACTGGTGTCACCACAACAAACGTAGAGCTCTGTTAGTCATTACGAAGCACGATGCCAATTGATAGTGTTCGTGCTTGTTTATTGCTAGTCATCCCGATAAACGAGGTATCACAAGGGAACAGTAAGCATATCCCTGAAATGTTGGAAACAACTTCGGGTGGCTACCCCCACCTGATAGCTGCCTTACGACAAATAATAATCATCATTATATTTTATGAAAGTTCTTCCAGTACTTTATTACAGGTGTGTACGTCGAATTATATTATTTTTTTGATAAGAACAATTAAAAGAAGTGTTAATACGGATAAATCAACTTTCACAACACTGTTATGAACTTGAAACATTATTGGAATGTTGACATCACAGCTCTGACTTCGATGACGACTGCTGTCTGTGCTGTGAGCCTCATCTTCAATTAACACTTACTTCTTTTATAATTTAAGGTATGTTTCTTATCTTTATTCGTTCATACAATATTTTTGTCATCGTAATAATAAAATTTCAACCATCTGAACCACGAAATTCACTTATTTTTTCCGGAATGAGGCAAGCCAAGTGAGCTCACTCTATCTTGAGTTAGCAAGGAAAATATCATAGTTTTTGGCCCAGTAATATAGTTTACTATAAACGTTAATATTTATTTTCAACAAGATATTAGCTATGGGGTACGATCTACAGTGTCTTGTGTGTGTCAGGCAGAAATATGCCGACATAAGTAAGCAGAAGATTTCATTTTCTTTATTCTTTAACTTAAGTATTTACTGTCACTAATAAAATAAAAAATAAGTGCAGCTTACTATCGATACAAATAATTTGCTCTAAAATTCTGCAATACTCGGCTACATCACAATTTTAATGATACACGCAACACTGCACTCTTTGGTTTAAAAAAAATCTATTTACTTTTAATTTTTACAAATGATATTTTCATTCATCTAAGTATAACTACATTTTTTAGCTATATTCTAAACCATATCAGAAAAGCACACAGCACCGTAGACAGTAAGGGAGTGACAATTAACCAAACTTAGTTGTCACAAAAAAAGCCCATTGGATGTACAATTGATCAACTTGACGTAGTTTGGCTCTTAAGAAGTTTCCATGCAATTTGAAGTGTGTGTACAATGCAAGGCAGGGGCCCCCACTGCACTGACATGAGAGATCAGTTTTACTTTGCCATCTGTATGATGGTATTCAATCGGCAACACTTACAGATTTCTATAAAAACATTGGTTAATTGAAAAAATTGTGGATCAGTCATATTTAATATTTTGTTAGGTTAAGTTAGGTTATGTTAAGTTAGAATTGGGTAAGGTTAAGTTTAAATTCGATTAGATTTAGTTAAAGTGAGGTTAGGTTAAGTTAAGTTAAGTTAAGTTAATTTAATTTAATTTAGGTTATTTTTTTTTTTTTTAGGTTAAAAATAGGTTAGATCCATATTTTGGGCCAGTTATTCACTGGTAATGTGGGGCAATTTTCAAGGGGACAGTTGTCCTAGAAACAAATTTTATTACAAAATTTCAATTAAGAAATAATAAATAAAATGATAATGTTCTGATTTTACAGCATGCAGACCTACAGACAACACCTTGATGACATCGAAGAAATAAGGACGTTTAGTCAAGTTGATGTTATGAGGAAGCGACGATTTAATGTAAGACGAGATCCTTGTCAGTTTTATAATGAAAAGGAATTTATTCAGCGCTACAGAGCATCTAAGGACAGCACCAGGACAGCATATTCACAACGTCAAGACTTTGTGACAGTCTGCAGGCCGGTGATTATCTAGGCTTTCTCCTTGGTGATAGTGGATATGCATTGCGTCCATACTTACTCACTCCAATCCATAATCCAGCTTATGAAAGGCAGAGGAAATATAACAGATCTCATATTAAAACAAGAACTACAATTGAAAGGACATTTGGAGTGTGGAAGAGGAGATTTGCTGTCTTGCAACATGTAAGAGTAAAGCTGTCTACTACCAAAAATATTATAATTGCATGTGCAGTTCTCCATAATATTGCTTTGATTTCTGGGCTTCCACTGGACATAGAAGACATGCATTAAGAAGTAATACGGCTTTAGTTAGTTAGGTAACTACTATGTTCCATACATTACTTTAAGTGGTGAACGATTCATGTCATTAAATTTTAATAAAACAGTGGTTCTATATATTTCTTTATTAAAGCCTTTTCATTCATTCTTAAATTATGTTGCCTTAAATTGTCTAATTTTTACTTCATTGAGGTCTTTAATAAGGAAGCTTACCTCAATATGTATGATAATTCACCTGTGAGGTAATATGAAGAAAACCAAAGGAAAGAAATATAGATTTATTTTTTCTAAATGTGCAAATATTAAGAAAATAAAAATTATTTTTTCTATACAGGACTCTGCATTTCATTAATATCACAGCTTATATTATAGATATACATAAAAAAAAAATCTGAACTGCCATACTTTGTACAATATTTGCACAAAATAGAAATGCGGAGACAAATTTTCTCTTAAATTAAATTATATATGAATGCATAAAAATTAATAAACTAAAAATCTCCTATATCCATTACTTTGCATATAACAACTTGTATTATAAATCTACCCCCCAAAAAAAAGAACTTTAATCTATAGCACAGTAAAAAGAATTGCAATTATTGAAAATCACAGCATACCTGTATATCATAAAAAAAAAAAAATCTTAGCTGCCATACTTAAGACAGCAATTGTAAACAATGGCAAAATAAAGAAATGTAGATTTATTTCCTTTAAATAAAATTATTTTAAGGTGTAAGACATAAGAAAATAAATTTATAATCTAGATGCCACTTTACGATATATCACAGTACCCCTGTATATAGTAAAATCATAAACATTGCATATGACTGTATGTTATTACTCAACCATCATTCATAAGTTTTAGCCATGGCATCATATGCAGTTGATGCTTTCCTTAAACATGTATCTAACAATTCAAAAGATTTATTAATTTTTTCAAGCGTCTTTTCAATCACTCTAATTACAGTTTCACTTTATCTTTCTTTGAGTGTATGTGCTGATATTATGGCCTTCACTTTCAGTTCCTCCTCATGCTCTCTTTTCATTGTGTACAATATATATTTGTGGAACTCCCCTTGTCTTTTCTCACAATGACTGGTGAGGCAGGAACAGAGGGTGAAATTAGAAGTCGAAAAACAGAAGTAGATTGTGCAGAAGACACAGTTGATGGCCCTGGGGTTGGAACAGGCAAAACAAGAGGATCATGGGAGTGAGGAAGTTCAGGTACACTTGCAGAAGTCTTCCGCATGACACAAGCACTGGATAGCGATTTCTTCTGAAGCTCATGATAGTTTTTCTGGAGGACCACCACCCGCTCTCCTACATCTCTGGTTTTAGTTCTGAAAGAAACAGAAGAATATAAATGCTTTATACAGTACTAGGCTACAGTCATATCTGCATTAAAATTTACTATGATATGCTGGTAATGAGGACTCGTGCTTCTGATAAGTTGTTGGAGGTGACCCTTCAGAAACTGAGCATAGACCTGTTTGAAGCTATCTTGCCAGAATAATTTGGCTTGCTAAGTGTGTATTGCCAGGCAACTAATGAAAAGTACACTAACTCTGCAGAATAATATCTGTTTCATATAGAGTTATATGCTGGATAGCTTGGTTCTAGGATAATTGCCCCCCAATGCCAGTGAATAACTGGCACAAAATATGGAAATAACCTAACTTTAACTTAAAATAACCTATCCTTACCTAACTTAACCTAACCTATTTTTAACTTTAACTAACTTATTTTAACCTAACCTATTTTTAACTTAACCTAACTTTATTTTAACCTAACCTAACTTTAACTAAATTTAAGTTAATTGAACCTAATTATAACTTAATCTAACTAAACCTCACCTAACCTAACTTTCACTTAACCTAACCTCACCTTAACTGAACCTACCTAACCAAATATTAAATATGACAGATCCTCAATATTTTTTTACATTTAACCATAATTTCTTATCAATGTTTTTTATTTACCAATTTGTAGTGTTAAAAAAACTGTATTAATTGTCATTTTTTGTGTATAATTATTACTAAAAATAAAACAAGAAAATAAAGCATTAATTTTTAGTGTTCCATGTTTTGTTCTAGTTATTCACTGGCAATTAAAGATTTCAAACAAGAAGACTTACCCTGCATTCCAGTTCTTTCATTATGAATTAATATTTTTTCAGATATACACAATTTTAACCTAGCACTCTGAGAAGTAAAAATAAATCAATGGCTACACTTTCACATATTAAACTATATGGTTAATCTTACTCAGACACCTGCATCTAATAGCATATAGGCATATATAATTTATGAAAGTAGACGTAAAAAACATTTATTCTGATATATAACTCGACGAGATCATAAAATTATATGAAGGAAGGGAAAATGGGGAGTTGAGATGGGAGCTTTCCTTGTCTACTTCGGTAGGGGTAGGACTCCTCACATGACCCGTCACTTAAATACTGTAATCCTACTCAATTTAGTAACCTAATTACAAAAAACCTTATTTTTAAATACTAAACTTAGAAATAAGCATATACTTACTCCTTTTTTAGGTTGGAGCTCCACTTGAGGTGCTTGGCTGTGAGAGGGAGTTGATCTTGGTTGCTGGCGTTTAATGAGGCAGTAATTTCATCCTAGGCCTTTCTTTTGCTATCATTTATTGTGTTACAGTACTAGTAGACCTGTCCTCGACGACTGGCCTTTGCTCGATAAGGCACAAAGGTGCTATGTGCAGGGTTACTGACAGGGCTGCAGAACGTTCTCTCCTCTCTAGACAAGGAGCCTCTATGTGTCTATGTTGCGATCTTGGAGATAAGGAGTTTGACATGTTCTTCTCAGGAGATTAATGACTATCTAAATAGACAACTGACAATAATCAAACTGCCAATATCAGATTCTATGAGGTTCAAGGACGACATCATGAGATGCCATTCGTACTGGCAGACTCGAACGCTCACTTACTTGACAAGTGTTACTAACAATAAAGACAGTTGAAGCTTTCAACATCACTCGCAAAGGAGCTTGAATGCTTTAACTGTAATCAAACATATCTAAGTTGACTCAAAACAATGGTGTTCTCTCTCACATTCAAATTTACTTTATAGAGAAGTTGGTTTCAGGAGGTCAGAGAAAATGGATGGGATCTTAAGCCAGAGAAAACGGATTCTGCCTAGGGATAACTCACCAGTTATCCACATGTTTTGCGGGCGTGGAGCATAATATGAATCATCGGGTTTCAAACACCCCCGCAGTCATTGTGACCATGACAATTGGGGGAGTCCCACCAGGTCCTTGTGTGAACTGACAGGATAGTCCCTGTAATGGCTCACGGCCTGGCTGGGGTGAGGTTGGGTTTTGAATGAGATTCGTCCAGTATTACACGATAATGTTTATTCGGTCATACCTGGAAATACATGTCCCACTATCAGTTGTAAATACCAAACATAAAAAAAGTATCCACAATACCTCGTATTTATATCATATCTAATAATAATAGCAGTCAGGTGATTAACTTCTCAAGTTGGTTGAATACAATTGCTGAAACTCACTTGTGATGGATCTGTTGTTATGACACGCGTAAGAACAGTACCAGACGATTTTGGGTGAGTTATCACCGTACACTACGTAAACTCTGTAGCTGGGTCACTGACGCACAGTTGCTAGATATTGGTTAGAAGTCGTCTCCGGACACGTAACCAGACCACCTTGTGTGCTCACTGCATCTCACACGCTGCCCTCCTGTGCCTCGACTGCTGACTGTCCTCACACAGTGTCATCTTGTAGCTAAAACCCACATCTGACCACCATATCTTATTCTCTTATCGAGTAGCTAATGTACTTGTCGCCGACGCTTCAAAATACAACCCTCATTGTCATGATCGTAATGACGACTAACCTGAAAACCCTAAGGATTCATATTACGCTTAAACGTCCACAAAACCTTCTGAGTTCCCCAGTGGAAACGTCCTCCGTTTTCTCTGTTTCCTTGTTGACGTCATCGAGAGGCCGTCTTTGTCTGAAGGGAACTTTGAATCTACTCCGCGGGATGTGTAGCAAGACGCTGTATGTTGGGATCTGTTGCCATCCAACCCTTTGTAATCAATTTAATTCTTGCTTTTGATAGCTCAGTCAGAGCTACCCTTATTTCTTCCCTATTACTTGATACTATCATTACATATACCCATGAGCCTCCTCTCGTCACGTTACCAATGGTTGTAAGTATTAAAGTAAAAATTTTTTATAAGAGGCACAGGCCCTTATATCATCTCTCTCTCCCTCTCCCCTTCTCCTCCTACTGCATCTCATGTCCCATAAGATGCAGTAACACTCCCCCTGTTGGTCGGTGACGACCAAGTTCATTCACACTCCGCCAAGTGAAAGTCACGCCAAAGCACAGGGATGTGCTCCAGTTTGTGTGGTGGTCAGAAGGGAACATGCAGTCGAGTGTCCTTACTTGGAACTGGCTGACGCTCGGCCCACAAGGGGTCACAGCTCAAGATTGAAGAAGCCGCAAGTCCAGAAAACTGTGAGGGAAAACTTTTTCGGAGAGGGTTGTAAACTCTTGGAACAATCTACCAGAAAGTGTTGTGACGGCACCGAGTGTGAGCTCTTTCAAAACAAAACTTCACCAACACTGGAGCAGGTTCAGGTACATTCAGGAGCCGGTGCATGCCCAGTACTTGCCAACAGTGCGTAACAGAGACGTGACGGATCGCCCAAGCGGCTGACGAGCCGATCAGTGGTGAAGAGGATAAAAGTAAAAATACAGTTGCCTCCATTTATAACGAGTACAGCTGCTGGCGTGTTTTGTGAAATTTGGCACCACTGTATTTGTTTACGTTATTGGAAAGCGAGCAGTATTGGCAGAGTTATCCCCCGCTATAGCAACCAGAAAAAGGATAGTAAATTAGCAGTCATCCTACAGTATATCTTTAAATGTACACATTTCCTGTATGGGTATAGTGTAACAAAGAATACAATGTATAATATCATAGGCTCTAATTTCATGTCTACTGGACGGCGACGAGTGACGACGTGATACTGTGGGGTAATGGGTGTTTGGTTCACACTCAGGATGGGCTGGAGAAAGGAAACTCACAATGTGCTCTCTGTATACATGTTGTATTGGATGTACAATGCAGCTTGGTGCTGGGAAGTGGCAGTGTGGTTACAAGTGTGATGTAGAGAGAGCTGGTTGGTGAGGATGCTCAGAGGAGGACAGCTTGTGGGTCGCCATGCTCGCCGGCGGGAGCAAGGGCCGCCAAGCAGCGGCGGAGGAGGAGGTGTAGCTTGCTGCGGCTGTAGCTAGAAGAAGAGAGAGGTGGTTGGTGAGGATGCTCAGAGGAGGACCAGCTTGTGGGTCGCCATGCTCTCCGGCGGGAGCGAGGACCGCCAGGCAGGCGGAGGAGGAGGAGGTGTTGCTGGCTGGTTGGTGTAGGTAGAAAGAGAGCGATGGTTGTTTGGTTATATGGAGAGAAGAGAGCACTAGCTCTGAGAGTGCAAGAAGGGTACAGTACAAGGTAAAGTTCAGAAGTGGGAAATAGAGGAGGAGGTTAACAGCAGGTGGGCTATCCACCTTGCGGAGACGGGTTTTTTTGTCTTCCGTCAACAGTGCTGCCTTAGTGGCTCATGGGGTTAGGGAAGGCCGGTCTCAGCCAAGCTAAGCTAAGTTGTTCTATTTGACCACGAGGTCAGGTCTTAAATAGCGGGGGGTAGGCGTGGCTTAGTAGTTGACCTCCGTGATGTATGGCGGCGCTGGTTGACCCAGACCACGAGGCATACACTGGGGAATTCGTGGGGTCGGCTACTCAGCGACAAACAGCGTTTGTAGGGGAGAAATCCACTACAATACCACATAAGGGGGAGGGGAGTTGGGTATAGGGGAGGGGTTTGGGGCAGGGTAGGGACAAGTGCATCGACACTCACGTTTGGTAGGATATCCACTATTTGTGAATACTAATATTTATTGTGGTATTAGGGGAGACTTTAAACCTTGATGATGAAACCTGGGGCTTATTGTATCAATTATAATGCAGATCCTGTAGCTAAGGGAAAATCGAGATAGAAAAAAAGAAATTGAAATT